GATTTTTCCAACACCAGCGTTTCGACAGATGTTGGCCCAAGGTTTGCTCCGACGTGGCCTTTCGGCCGAATCTTGCACATCTTGCCCTGCTGGAAAAAAATCAAACGCGGACCCTGGCGAAACAAATAGATAATAGGCGGTCTGTATACATCTCAGGCAAAGATGTGACTATTCTCGAAGGTCGAACAGCTGATTCGCAGAGGGGTACTGACGACTTGGTCGAAAGCAATGGTTGAAGGAAATTTTCCATAGGAAACTTCCTGGCTATACCACCAGAGCTACAGAATACGATTATAGCCCGAGAATACACTGGTGGGGGGGTGGGGGGGTGGGGGGGTGGGTGGGGAAGACGGCGGAAAAATACACCCTTGAGGCCGAGTCTTTGATGGATAAACTTCTTCCTTTCGAAACTACTGGTTGCTGGTTCGAACCCGGTGCGTGCGCTGTACGTTTTTTTATCACGGCTCAAAGCTATGTAGGATAGCCCTAACCCCATCAACCCAACCGACCCGACCCAAATCCATGGTATTTTTTTTTTTTTTGTCTTCACTTCAAATCAGCGCTCACAGCACTAGTGCCGTTTACTCCAACCCGAGGTCACTCAGAAGAGCCCCTCTCTACCCTCCCCTCCTGCAGTTCTTTGCCTTCGATTTTTAATGCGAGAAGAGTTCAGCACTGTCTTCCCTCTGTGTACACACGAACTAGCGCTATCCACTTGGCCAGGAGCGGAAGCGAGAGAAAAACTCACTTTGCAAGAAAAGTTCGCTTACGCCGGGATTCGAACCCCTGACCTGACCTCTGTAGGTTTCGAGGATACCAACTAGACCACCGGGGCATTGGAAAGTGCTAGGTCACTGTACCAAGCAGGCCTAGGCCGCAACCCGTGGCAACGCTAGGTTGCTGAGGTTGCTGCACCGTTTGCGTTCTAGGTTGCAGCTGTCCCGTTTAGGCTAAGCCGCGGCGCAGGAGGGGGTAGGTTGCTGTGCACCGTCAGGGCTAGGTTGTTGCGCACCGTCAACGCTGGGTTGCTGTACGGTGTCAGGGCTAGATTGTTATGCACCGTGAACGCTAGGTTGCCGTGCGGTGAAAAGCTAGGTTGCCGTGCAGGGCTGCACCTACCCAAGGACTGTTCCAAGAAATGGTATCCCGACATGGAGACCACCGCTTTCGACCAAGTCATCAGCACTACTGGATTCGCATTCGTTCGGGAGGCAGACTGCCCAAAAGAGCGAAAAAGTCAACATTTGTCCAAAGAAAGGAAGATGGAGATTCAGAAACCATAAACATGTGTCTCATTTCAATATGTTGCGTATTTCATTTCCGGGATCGGATCCGACCCCTGAAATATTTGTATTTTCGTGCCTCACCCTGCTTTTAATGCGGTGCGCGCTGAATGTTACCAATGTTACCATGGTAATATTTTTGTATTATCGCGAGAAGGGTCCAGCCGTCTCTTTCCTTCGTCATCGTCTTTCCCTCGTCAACGTGCTAACGAACATCGAAGCTTGGTACTCACGAGCTTTTGAGCCTTTCGCTTCCACCCGCAAAAAAATTGTAAGTTTCAATTTTTCACTCCTATCGGGATTCGAACTCATCACGACTTCGCCACCATGTAGCGGTTTCGAGTTTACCACTAAATAGACCACCGGGGCGACCAGGGTTGATGGTATTGTTTAATGTATGTATTTGTTGTCGATCTCTGTCCTGCGTCGTCGCATGAACCAGAAGACAGTCCCCAGACGGTATAAGAGTAGTCACGGGCGGGTGACACGCACACTGATAAGACACATGCTACAGTACTACTCATGGTCCATACGACGAGAGAGAGGCCACCCCCGCTCCAACTCGCTACACATTCACACATACATACATGCTGTGGTGACAATTCAGGCCGAAACAACGGCAGCGACCACTAACGTATGTTTCCCGAGTGTTGACGTCGGCTGTCAGACCTCTCCTTCTTGAATCGTGAACGAAAAGGGATTGCCAACTCCGTCCCAGTAGGGGTTCTGATGCGCGCTGCATGAGTCATGATGCAAGTAAGTGTGGATGTTTTCGGCCCCATGCACACACACACCTTGGCAATCGTACATAGCAACAACCCTACCATCAACGCTGATGCCTAACTTCACGTACGGTGATGGCGTTTGTCTTCCCATGTTGCTTCTACACACTCGACACAGTGGGACGCTTGTGTTGTTGGCCTTCATGACGGAGGATGTGATGGTCTCGGCGTGTTATACTGCGAGCAATGTGGTGGGCTTGGTCAAGACCATCAAGTTCGTCATGATGACTTCCTCCAACATGCTGGCCGCCACCAACCTCGGGATCTGCATCAACCTCGCCCTCATCGTTTCGGTAAGAGCTCAAAGATGTGCACACGCCGTTTGAGCTAGGCTAGGCCTCGCCAAGGCCTCTGTTATAGTGTACAGCAGTGCTGGGTTTGCCCCGTCGTCCTCAACATGCATTGTACCAAGGGTCTTCGCGAAAATAGAATTTCCGAACACATAGCCCCCCCCCCCGGAGGGGCCGTGGACTACACGAAAAAGCTGAAAGGGCAATTTCGAGTAGGCGATCTGGACTTGCCAGAACGGAGGAAGAAGTATACCAGCCGTAAGAGAGAGGAAGAGGAGGATAGACACACATGTCCATGTGGCAAATCGGAGGAGAGTAGACCCCACATAGTTGGGGAGTGTGAGTTGTTCAGGAAGGAAAGAGAGGATCTCGAGGAGGAAATGAGACAGAGAGGATGTGACATGGACAAGTTTGGTAAATTAGACAACAGCGAAAAAACGATCGCGATAATTGGGGATAGATGGTGGGCACAAGAGGCCCTAGAGGACGAGGATAAGATGTGCAAGAAATTTTTATGGAGTTTGTGGCAGAAACGTAAAGAGCTCCCAAATGTTGGTGGTGTCTCTAGTAGGGGTAGGAACGGTGCTCCGTCTCGAAAGGGACGCGTGGTCAATGGTCAAATGACTACGGCAAGCAACAAATGAGTACGCCCCCCCCCCCCCCCCCCCCGGGGGGGCCCGGGGGGGGGAAAAACCCAAAAAACCCCCTTGAATCCGGGAAAAATTTCCCTGGGGGTTTTGTTAAAAGGGTTGGAAAAATGTGGCCCCCTCTCCTTGCCCCTTCCCCATCCCTCCCCCCCTCGGAAGCCCGGCCCCCTTTCCCCCGCCGTGGTTAAGGAAAAAAATTTCCTACCGGGGAATGCCCCCCCCCACCAAAAAAAAAAAAGTGCGCCAATGCTTTCTAAACAGCCCCCAGGGAAACCCCCTCCTCATCAAAAACAACCCCCCGGCTTGGAAAATAAT